TATAGGGGACTACAATAAAGGTTATCAGACGGGATACTAGGAGTTTAGACAGTAGCTCGCATTTCTTCCTCGCGTGTAGTTGTAGTTGAAATGAATTTCATTATGCGTGTGCCTATGCTTCAGCTTGTAATTGCTCATATTGACTTTCCCTTCTATACCACGTGTACCTACACAGGAAGAATGGGTCCCTCAAGCCCTCAACTTGAACCCTATGTTCCCAAACCCTTAAACCCGGAATCCCCAACCCTGGTTCCCCAACCCTAACTCTTCAATCCTAAGCCCTAAATCCTAAACCGCAAGCCCTTTTTCTCTTCTGCAAGGCGAGGATTAACTCCCTGAACGAGATCATAGTTAAGGCCGCCCAGTTTGTGGCTCGCGTGAGTGTCTTCAAGACAGAGCAGTTCCTTGGAGTTGAAGGTTACGCCCAAGGTTCAGGGTTAGGGTCGCATAGGGGCTTTGGAAGATTTCAAAAGCACCCCTTTAGAATCCTTAAAAAGGATGTAATCCACAGATGTATACAGTGGTCCCGAATATCTAGGCTACCCAAGAAAGGACCATTGTGACCATTGTGTTGACAACTTCCGATATGCGCCTACAGTCCCTTCATTTCACCTTATTTAAACCCTATAAACCTTAAACTCCAAACCCGAAACAAAAAACACTAAACCCCCAAACCCCAAACAAGAAACCTTAAACCCCCAAACCCTAAACAAAAAACCCGAAAAAACCATGAACCCCGTCCCCATTGTGTCTCCCCAGGTTGGTTTTCCGAGCCACCATGCAGAATGAATCTACAAGGCTCCAGTCGGAGCTTCAAAGCCAGGCCGCACTTCGGGTTTCAGGGTTTCGGGTTCAGGGTGTCGGGTTCAGGGTTTGGGGTGGGGGGTGGGGGTTGAATGCTTAACGGATTCGGGGGGTGCAAGGTTTCTCTTTTGGAAGCCCAATGGAGATTATCTTTGTGGATCATGCCAACCTTTTGTCGGGATATTTTTGGGTGACTTTGCTGGGTTGCTTGTGCCAATGAATGTTCTTGAGTGGCAGCTGCCCCTTGTGCGCACGTGCTCTCCCTGGAGGCCTTCAAGGAGCAGGTTGACCGCGCGGTGGACAAGGTTTGCGCTGGGCTTAGGGCCTAGGGTCTATAGGATTTCGGCTTAAGGTCTGCGCCTCACAACCCCTTGTTATGCCCAGAAGTTGTCTGACGCACTGGCCGCACTGGTGGGGGCAACTCTGTGTGATCTCACCTAACCTTGACCCAAATATATAGTTGCCGCACAAGTCGATCCATTCTGGGTTAGCGAATAGCAAGGTCTTTCTGGGTTATCCTCCAACCCGCCTGGAATAGTGGTCCTAAAGAAAAAAGGGACCCACGGATAAATACCACTGTCCCCCGTGGTCAGTATTCATGATTTTGAACCGAACAAAGAACCATAAATAGTAATTTCCATTTTATTTTCCATTATCCCAATATAACCTCAATATAACCCTAATATTACCCCAATGGGTACCAGCAAACCACACCATCAGGTGGCATTGTTGAAGGAGAAGTTCCTGGCCTTCGCGGATTCGACCTCCCAGACATCCTCGGGTACCAGCGCGTTGAGGACCTACCCAGACTCCTGAAAGGATCGAAACATTAGACCCCCTATATTGAATTGTAACAACCCCTGTATCATCATTAAAGATCTTGCCATATCACTCTAGGGGATAAAATTCTTAGATCCCTTTGGGGGTCTGGGTATAGGCTACAAAGAAAACACTGAAGCCACGGTTTTAGGAAGTTTCGGGTGCTGAAGGGTGCTCAGGCTTGGAGTCGGGTCCAAGGAATTTTGTAATAGGGCATTGTAGGGTTCCACCGGAGTCCAATGCGGGCCATAAACCTTGAAACCTCAACCCTAAACCTTAACCTTCAACCCTAAAGCCTTAACCCTGCAACCCTGCAACCCTAAACCCTAAACCCTTAACTTAGGGTCGGGTACAGATGACGATCCGGAGTCTTCTTGGGGATCTCGCTGTAAAGCGTTCTCTACTGCCTGATTGGATGGTGGAGAAAAGGTCCGAGAAAAAAACACCTTAACTGTGTTTATGGTCAGGACCGCCATGTCCCAGCTCCAGCAGAGTTCAACGGCCCTTATGCAGCTCAGCTTCCCTTTTGAGTTAGTGCAGGAATGGAAGAGAAGGAAACTACTGTATTGATTACTTGAGCTATAGTCTTCCTTCAAGGGGTTTATCTAGGGGATCATATAGGGGAGGATGATAGGGCTCATTAGGGGGGATACTGGGAGTTTAGACTATAGCTCACTGTGAGGTGTCTGGGTGTCTGTAAGACTTTGCTCTGCAAGGCTTTTGGCATCGAAGCCTTTCAAATTTTGGGTTATGTACAGGAATGGTAAAGAACATGGAGACTACAATGTTGATTCCTTACAGTTTTATGAGAGAAAAGAACATGGAAACTATTGTATTGCATTTCGAACCATGGGATCTGGGATGCTACCCCCCCAAAAAACGTTGCAAGGTCTGTTGGCCTCTGGAGTTGTTTTTGAACATCCTGAAAGTATCCCAGGCAAACGGTCGACTCGAACCTGGGCCTCTTCGAGGACGAGTCTCTCAAGGGTTTAGGGGTTTGGGGTTTAGGGGCTTAGGGTTTAGGGGTTTAGGGCTTGGGATTGAAGGTTTAGTGTTAAGAGGTTGCATCTTGTGCATGAAGTCTTACTGCCTGCTTGCTTTTGCGGGGGCTTGGCCTTCCTTAAAGGAGCAGAGGACCAGAATCCCAATCAGGCACGCGCGTCCAGGAACGCTGAGATGTCAAGTTGTTCTTCTGATACCGTACTTGGTAGCTTCCCAAAATAGGGGGACTCCAATATAGACCCCAAAATTTTTCAATTCTTACTATGGGCACCCCCGACAAGGTACCCCTCGATTTTGGGAAACCCCAATTGAAAGACCTTGAGCAGGGAGGGTCCGAATTAAACCTTTGATGTGACCGGTGGGTGGGTATAGCGCTTGGCTCGTTCATTGCCAAGGTTTAAGGTCTAGGGGTAATTTCGAGCTTGTGGGTTCTGTCAGTCAACAATGGAACCCTACCCTAAACCCTAAACCCTATATCCTGGTCATCCTGTTCTCAATCTGCCAGCTCATTGCGTCCAGGAGTTCGTGGACCAGTGCAATAGGATGCTGTTCCTGGGCACCGGTCAGGGTTTAGGGTGTAGGTTTTGGGGCTATTCTGGCGTTTATTGTCATGGCAACTTCTCTTTTTTTTGTGACATTCACACTCGCAGCCAAATGCACGCTCTTCTGCAAGTGTAGGTTGGGCACCGGAGCTCAGCAAGAATTTCTGTTGGACATCTGTGCTCAAGAGAATACTGCCTGCTTGGAGAATGACGCATCTGGCCATGTTGGTTGCTGCTGCTCCTTTGCTGCTTTCGGACTGGTTTTTCTTTATTGAGGAACTACAGAAGGAACCTGATGTTCAGAAGTATCCGTTTGAAGGGAAACAGAAGGATGTCTGGATGCAGAGGATGTCAGTAGGAATATGGATAGCGCTGCTCATAACATGCGATAACAACTCGTGGCAAATGCCTAAATCACAGCTCCCCTTTCACGTACCTCAGGTGGAACCCTAAACCCTAAACGACCAACCCCAAACTGTACACCCTACCCTAAGCCCTTAGCCCTAAAGACTTGATCCTATGCACTCTAAACCTGAAAGCCCCAGCTCTAAACCGAAAACTTCGAACCCAACCAGTAAACCCAAAAACGTGCAGCCCCCGCACCCCAAGCCCCGCAACCTAAACCCTTACAAGAAAAGGCGTGCCCCCCCCCTCCCTCCCCCCCAAAAACAAACTTCAAGCAATACATAAATGAAGAAACAAATGTATATATATATATATAACAACAGTAATAGGAGTAGTAATAGAATGATAACATAAATGTCGGAAAGAATAGTAGTAATGGCAATAACATCTCATTGGAGGCGCCTTCAATCCAGTGGTTGCCCCCACCTTTGACATTGACGGCCTCTCCTCTGCCCTGCTGGCAGAAGGTGGCTATGTCCAGGCAGATTCGCCGGGGTTTTCTGGTCTTGGGGGCTTTGGGGAAAGGGAGGAGTTGATGAGGGGTCCTGGGATTCAGGGTGAAGGGTTTAGGGTCGAAGGTTCATGAAGGTTCAGTAGTTACCGCGCGTCTTGGTGACGTTAAATTTGCACGGAGGGGTTGCATGGATTTTGCGGTTAGGGTTTTCAAAGAGGGTGGTCCCTGTTGGTTGGTGCCTGCAATAATGGGTGGAAGTTGAGAACTGATAAATGCCAACTGAGTCAAAAGAGGCATTTATTAACCCTAAACCCAAACCCTAATCCCTAAACCTTCGCCTAGTGCTCTTTGCAACTCCTGAAGGTGCCAAGTAGGCGCGCAAAAAACCCTCGACCTGAAAACCTTCAGCTCTCGAAAGCCCTAAACCCTCAAACACAGGCGGGCCGGCTCTTGCAGTCGGCACCGGCCGAGGCGAGGTCCCTAGGTTATAGGGGTTCTTAGACTTACTAGGGTTATAAGAAGGAACCACGAGAGTTTAGGGTGTAGGGCTGTAGGTGCGGGCGTGTAGACCCTACCTGTGCCGAAAAGATGATCTCCGCTTCAAGATCACAGGATTGAGCGTTTGATTGACCAGGGATCTCCATAGCCTGCCAAATTCGGTATGCGCATGGGCCAAAATTGGGCTGGGAAGTCTCTATGAGCACCGCTCCCAAAAGCCTAAAACCTTTTGGGATCTGAACTCTGCAGGAGGTGGATGTCGCGCTCGCCAGCATCCCCACGCATAACGGTGGTAGACTCACAGACCTGCAGGTTGAGGATGCAGGTCGGTATGTTTCTGGGAAGCTTGTAGTCCAAAGCATCAATAGCAATTCAGGAACAGTGGACTGGACGTCGCTGACGCGCAGTCGCGTGTGTTGCAGCTTGGGCAGGCTCTTGGGATGAGGGGGAAGACTGCGTGAGGGACAAGTAGACCTCATCACAATAACTTGGCCAGGAGGTCTTACTCCGCGACACGGAGCAGCAACTGGCGACAGCTTATCCAGAATACCATCAGCAATGTAAGGGCAGGCGCTTGGAGGGCGGACGGGTCGACGAGGCACTGGAAAACCGCGTGCAGAGCTCTCAAAGCTCGCGCAAGTTGCAGACAGCGACGTTGCAATGCACGCCGCCAATCCACGACAACACCAGCCTCAAGGTGAGTTTGGGAAAAGCAAGCCTGTCTCTCTTTGAATCGAGGCTGCAAGAATGATGGCGCATGATATGTGTATACTGTATACAGACACATATGGGGGTTGTTCTAAAACCCTTGTTTTGTTTTTTATAAGCCGAGTTCGCAGCACAGGGTTCTGGGATCAATTTCTTGGCGCGCGAAAGACGCGCGGAAGCGCGGCGAAAGGTCGGCGAAAGGTCTTGATATGTCCTTGATAATGGCACGGCCTATCATGAAGGATGAAACGAAAACCAGGCTGAGAAAATCCACATT